AAAAAGTCCTCCACGAAGGCAACTTTCTCCCTATACTTGATCCAGGAGTTCCCTCGTCTTCTAGATTGGGTTCAAAATTGCAAGGCTACGTAGTTGAACATCAGTAGTCATAAACCCAAAATTTGTGTCGGCAGTTCAATGACGGTTATAAAAAAAATAAAAAAATATGTCATTTCAATTGTAAGGAAGTAAAAAAAATATAAAAGTGTAAGGAAAAGGGAAGGGGGAAGACGCCGGATAACCCGGATTGTGTGAGAATCGGTTCTGTTTTCTAGTGGACAAAGTCTGAATTACACTTCAATAGTAAAAAAGAATGATCTACCATATTGGCGAATTGTTGTTAATTTTATAAACAAAAGCAATTTAATAATATTGGATCCAATCAGCCTGATTCAGATTTTACCTGTTATAGGGAATTTCTTAAAAAATATTTCCCTGAACGTAGGGATATTTCATTAAAGGTTAAAAAAAACGAGAAAATTTTAATTTATACTGGAGAATCACGCAAAATCCAGTAGTCTTCCCTAAAATTCCAGTAGGGTTGGCAGCTATGTGTGTTGAAAAAAAACGGACCACTTTGAATAACTTTTGACATAATGATCGGATCTTCACGTTCTGGGACCCAAACATAATTGTTAGAGAAGGTGACCTCGAATATACTAATTAGAGCAGACAATATTTTAAGTTACGAAATCAGACATAAAAACGCACTTTCTCCGAATAAACATGCCTTTTTTTTTTTTAACGGATTTCGGGTTTTTGACACCCAGAATAAAAAAATATTTTTATTATTTTTATTTTTAGCAAATATTTGTTATATTTTATTATTTTATTAAATGATAGTTGAAGAGATTTAAATAGTTAGATACTTAATATCTTACGTTTTTTCAAAAGTACGTAATTTTGCAAAGCAAAATACAAAATTCAAAAGAAATTGGTAAAATAGTTCTTGAGAAATCGAAATAGTTTAAAAGGAGACGAATATTTATAATTTGATTTCTCAGGAACTATATTCAGCCGATTTCGCCCAAATGTTTTGCCATGTAAAATTACAACCTTTAAAATGATGTAAAAATTGCATACCTTACAATTCAATTTCCGACTATTAATAAGTAATGTTTAAAAATAAAACATTAAAAATTTACCAACATTTATATTTTACTAGGAATTATCCTTGGAAAAACGAATTTTATATTTGTGAGCAAATTTTTTTAAAATCGCTTAAAAAGTTTTTGAGACATGCGAAATATACAAAAAGTGAAATTAACATTAAAGGGTCCAAAATTTGGGTCGCTCTCCTGACCAAACTATCAGGACCATATTTCCTGGGCTGCGGCTATAATACGAATCCGTTAAAAAAAGGTATTTTATTTCAGAGAAAGTGCATTTTTATGTCTGATTTTGTAACTTAAAATATCGTCTGCAATAATTAATTAGCATATTTGAGAACACAGCCCTCAAACTGTTAAGTCAACTCAAAAAGTCAAGTTGGCGAAAATGAATTTTTAGCGCGCAAAAAAGCTTTTTTGAAAGTGTCCTCGTAGGAGCAAACATTGCAGGATAAAATCTTAAATTTCGTTGCAAAATATTAGTTACTTTTTAAAGTTAAGAAAAAGCTATTTTAGCCGTGATTTTTACTTTGGTTGCAATTTTCTTCCTGGTTAACGAGTTTCTTAAGGTTAATAATCGTCTACAAGGGTTCAACGTTTCGAGGCAAAACTCAGACTTGAAGTTTCTAGGTCAAATATTAGCTAACACTTGCCATAAAATTGTTACTTACAGTTTTTTTAATAGTTTAACGTATGGATTAACGATGTATTAAAAAGACTATAAATATGGAGTCAAAATTCAAACTTGTGGTTTTTATTGTTAGAAATTAGATAGAACTTGTGCTTTTTAGGAAAATTTTTTCGTTTTTTAGGGATGCAATTTTTTTCTGATGATTTAACGTAGAAGTGCCAACAAACGACTCACGAAAGTAGTAAAGTGGCAGGCGGACCCATGTAAATATTAAAATTTTAAAATGTATGTTAGTTTTTCCTATTTAAAAAATCCCTTGTCAGAGATGCCAACTGCTCCGGACACGCCAAAATAATTAAAAAAAACGGTAAATAACTACAAAGTTAATTTTTTCAAATATTTGACTATTTTTGCTTGTTTTTAAAAAGGCATGACATAAGTAATACAAAGTGGTGAATTATATAAGCCTACGAATTATTTATAAATAGTGGTGGATAAAAATCTACTAAATTGAATTTATTAAACCAAGAATTATAAATGATAAACTACCACTTTAAAATATATATTTGCTGTCCGGAGAAAGTTGGCATCTCTGACTTGTACAAGAGTTAAATAGAAGAATTAAATCTGAAATACATCTTTCTTAAAATTTCATATAGCATACAATGGTATTCAAACATTTATATTAAAATGAAATAAGATAACTTTTCTTTCTTTATTTTTGAATTAGTGAAAAATATAACTATTTTGATGCACTGTGAAATCGAATTCAGAAACTAACTCTCGTTTTTTTTAAACACACTGTACTTCTGTACAAACTGTAAATAAATAAAGGCTCTAAACTATTTGCAACTAGAACTGTCTGCAGGTCTTAAAATGAGGGAATGTTGTAAAAATGAGCTAGTAATAATGTAAAAATAAACTTCAAAAAATGCACTGAACAAGCAGAAGCGTCTAAAAATGAAAAACATGGCTCGTGTTGGCTCAGGGGATAGAGCGCTCGCCTTCCAATTAAGTAGACCGGGTTCGAATCCCAGCGATGGTAAATCGTAGACAAGTTTCGCCCCCAGCTTGCGCCAACCACACTGCTGACTTAAAATATTTGCAGTGGTCGATCGTGTCTGGTTAACCGTGGGAGGTTTTCGTGGCTCTCCTCGCCATGTTATGCAAATGCGGATTAGTTCCATCAAAATGTCCTCTACGAAGGCAAATTTCGCTCAATACTTGATTTTGATCAATACTTCGCTCAATATTTACAATATCTAATGCAATAATCGTGGTAAAAATCTCATTAATAACAGTACTTGTCGAAAGAGTCATGGAAGCTCAGGAGATAGAGAGTTCGCCTTCCAATGAGGTGAACCGCTTCCGAATCCCAGTGATGGCTGGTTGATACGAACTCCGGCCACAGTGCTGACGTGAAAAAACATCAGTGGTAGACGAATCATGGGTTTTAGTCCCCTACCCGTTAAGTTAACCATGGGAGGTGTTCATGGTTTTCCTCTCCATGTAACGCAAATGCTGGTTAGTTCTATCAAAAAGCTCTCCGCGACGACACGTTTCACCCAATACTTGATCCAGAAATTCCCTTGGCTTCCGGATTGGGTTCAAAACTTGAAGGCTACGGAATTGAACATCAGTAGTCGCAAACGCAAACTTGGGTCGTCTGTTCAACGACGGTTATAAAGTAAAATAAAAATGTAAATAAAAAGAAAAAAAATGCCGATCTCATCAAAATTCGGGCTTTACTCATATGTTATGTAAACTTTGTTTAAAACCAATTTCGCTGAATGATGAGCAGCTTAAAAAAACTGTCGATAATTTCAGATTCCCAAAAGTGGTCATAAATAGACGTGGTCGCTACATAGATGTGATCTTTCCTGGATGTTTCACTTTTCTTGTTAAAATAAGCACAACAAATATATTTTTTTAAAACATTAGTTTAACAAACAAATGTTACCTAATCAAGAATGAGTATCTTCTCAAGCTTCAGCTTTTCTCTTAGCTGTTTCGCTGCAATTGCTACAGAATAAAAGAAGCAGAAACCCCTGTAATATTAAAGAATGTTGGTGTAAAAATTTAATCTTAGTTTTTAGAGAAGATTCATTCTGCTTTAATAATATAGAAATATATTAAAAATTTTGAAGGGCAATGTAAATGAAAATGTTTTAATTACTATTATTTATTTATTTTTTAGAAATGCTATAACTAGGCTATAGCTTTTTTAGAAATGCTTTAGCTTTGTAAAAGAAAATATTAAAACAATTTCCACAAATATATCCTAGACAGTTTTGAGTATATTTAAATTTAGTAAAACATTGAAAATAGATTGATAAACTAATTAAAATATTGTAATACATTTTTGAACTTATTATGAGGGCATTAATTACTTTTGCTAATTTAAAAATTATTTTTGTAGTTGCATACTGGATAAAAAAAGTGCAAGAAACAAAACATGATGAACTCTCAAAACTATTTACAAAGTAAAGTATTTCAAGATTAATATGAGCTATTTTTAAAAAGTCCACCAGTATCTAGAATTTGTTGACAATTACTATATTACTAGTTGAAGTCATAGTCTTGTATGAAATTGCCTTTTTTTT